CACAGACCACCTGGATGGAGCATTCCTTTTTTGAAAAGCTGCCATCTCCTCATATATATTCTCTCACCTCTGGAGAATTCGCAGCCAGGAGGCTGCGCTATACTGGTTGCATTTTGTAGCGTAGCGAGGACGAAAGGGGTTTATAGGGCGGTAAGATGGGTAATTGAAGGGTGCGGTCGCCTGTCGGGGCAGCGACCGGTACGCCGGGTGGTCGCGAGTGAGGTTGGAGGAGGGCAGACCAGCGGTCACGAAAAGCGGTCGGCGGGCCGTTTTCATGGACGGTGCCGGTTTTCCATTTCGGGCGATATCGCGCGAGCGTCAAATTTTCGGAAGGCAGGGCCGAAGTGGGTTTGGAGGTGTGCAGAGCAGGCAGTCGGGGTGTTCGTATTCGTAAAACGAAAAAAACCACTAGCAGCAGTGAGTTCCCTCAGCACCCGAATCTGGACGTGTTTGTGGAGATGTGCGGTTGCTCAACGTGGTTACCTGCACATCTCAACAAACACGTCCAGATTCGGGCACCGAGGAAACTCAACGCTGCAGGTGTATCATTCAGCCATCGGCCCTGCCACATGGGCAGGGGTGATCTTGTTTTTTTTTTTCTTTTTTTTTCTTTTTTTTTTTAAGGCCCATACAAGGCCTCTATCCTGGTGGGGGAAAGAGAACCACCGGGATTGAGGCTTTGCCAGGCGGGCCGCTCCATCTATTGGTGGGGAGCAACACCTGCTGGAAACCGAGTCCAGCGTCCCACAATACCTCTTTACAGAACAATCCATCTTGAAGGTGGCGATATTGTGCTGGAAACTGGGTCCAGCATCCCTAACTGCGTCCATTATTCCATACCTATCCTGCAGCAGGATCGGTTATTGGGAGGGGAACACCGGGGGGCACCGGTGGGGTATCCTCCCATCCCCTAGCCTCTGCCATCCACCTACTATCCTCGTGGCGCCTATTGTGTCTTTGCCTTGTGCAATAGGTTATGTTTAAAAAACTGGAGCGCTTGAAAAGACTGAAAAAACTGAAAAGACTGAAAGGACGAAAGTGACTACCCAACAGCTGAAATCATGCTGTATCCTCCTAATTTCTCTACAAAGCACCTCGTTAGATAACTCTAGATAACTCTAAGACCCCAGATATTCCTCCAGTGCCAGCGGGTGGGGGGGGAAGGGATCACCGAACTCCTGTGCGGGTCTCAACTGCTCGCTGGGATCAAGTTGATAGTCTCTTTCCAGGTCTTCCACTTGTCCCTCTCGCTGCCCTTCGTTCTGCTGGTGCAACTCCTGTCCAACTCAGCTTCGCGACCCAGCCCTCCCTCTCCCCTCCCAGCCAGCTTTCACAGAACCGAGAGATACTGTTCTTAATGTCACCTCTGTTGTGCATCTGACCCAGATTTTCCTTAACTCTCTGCCATTGTGCCGTGATCTCATGCTGGAAGAGCAGCCTTATCTGTTCTGTGACTTCCCCCACCTCCACCCTTGCCCCCTCTAATTCCTAGATGCATCTTCGCCACCATATGGCCCATAGGATAGTACGCCTGCCCAGAGAGTACATGTTTGCTACAAAGGCGTTGTCACGAAAAGAGGGGTAGTGACCTAGCAGGATTGCCCTCCGGTCCCACGGCCATAATGAGCCTGGAACGATGTGCCGCCAGATCCTGTCCCACCATCTCCATAACAAGACCGCTGCAGGGCACCATAGGAAAATGTGCTCAATCGTCTCAAGGCGCTTTTTTTTCAGGGAAGTTTTGGCGGCAACCTCGGCACCAGGGAAGCGCCCTTCCTTGCTGTTCGAGCTGTGTATGATCGATCAGCTAGTCATTGGATGGTAGGCAGCGATGAGTGATTTGCCATTGAAGGGCGGAGATTTTCGCTGGCCTTTTCTGATACTCGCTGAACCATTGGATATGTTTGAGTGTGCTTCCATCTACATTTAGATGGCGCTGCCATCTGTCCGCCACAACCTCTTTTAGCCCACGCTTGGGCCTGAGCATTCGGTAGACGGACTTCGTTTTTAGGGTGGCTAAATGGACTGTTGCCCCCCCCCCCCCCCCCCCCC